CAAATTACGCTTCAGTTCACAGGAATTCACATAAACAGAGGAAAAGACAGCACAAAGGTATCTTATCCCTGCTGACATTACCATCTGCATACTTGATATTGTTATTTATCTCACTCCCTTATAAGCTGCAACATTAAAAAAATTATTTTTTACTCATCTGATACCTAGGAGATCCCGAGAGGACAAAAGTCTTCTGGTTAGTACAACATCTACAGCTCACTGCCAAATGTTTACATGAGATTTGCAATATCACTTTCACACAGAACAAAACTGTAATAGTTGTTTCTATAAGCACGGGTGCATATCCATCAGATGCACATCAAAAATGCAGAAAAGGAATTATGTTTTATATACTTTTAAGATCAATAATGCAATCTTTCACACTTCCTTAAAATAGTAAACATCAAACCCCGTGTTTGGTTTGCATTTAAGTTGCTGCACTTTGTGCTGCAATCACTAGATGGCACGACAAGGATGCTGTACTGTATTATTTCAAAAAAATCATCTAGTCTTCCATTCAGTTTACAAATTCTTGTACTTTAAGTGTTTTCTATACCCTGCATAAAAATTCACTTCTTTTGAAGCTATCAAGTATGTAGAGGCTGTGACTAATTTCTCTAAGACAGGGGTAAGGAATACTTTATTATACAGAACTAAGCACAAACTGGTATTTGAAAAGTCAGTCAAATAAAAAAATAAGTATACATTTTTCATCCTAAAAATAAATAATAAATTAATAACAGTTTTTAGGCTGTTCTGTGCCACCAATATACTAGCAATCATGGACAGCTCCCTCAAGAACTTCTATAGAATCTGCCAAATACTCAGTTTTGTCTGACACTAAATTCAGATTCCTGCCTGGACAGAGCTCAGTACTGTCAGAGCACTTCCAGCGAGGTGACAGGTTGCAGCACCTACCCAAGGCACTGGGAGCATTTAGGAACTCAGCTGCTGGTGTGAAAGATCCTGAGAAGTGCTAGAAAAAGTCAGTGACTGTCCTTGTTGACAGACAGCAGTACAAACATCACCTGGTCTCTACTCAGGGCCCAAATAGCCAGTTGGGTATAGAGAACATACAGTCATTGAACCATCAGTGTGTAATAACAGTAATATCCAATATGTTTTGTGAGCAGATTTTAAAGTAATTTCTGTATTTGCCAAGCAAGACCAACACTATTCAGCATCACTCTGTGTAATTCTGAACATGGATGTGCAGGAGACTGACAGAGGACTATCTATTTTAGAAAAATTAGTAGCCATTATACATAAACTGGCTGACCCTCTGGGATTACTGAGCAAGAATTGTACATAAAGTCCAGACTCAAGTACATACACAAAGAGACAAAAAAATTAACAACAAAATCACTATCAGAACGCATGTTCGTAGTTCAGCTTCTACAAAGACAAAGGAGTGTTTTTATGCACATAAGCACATCTAAAGATACTGAAGGATAAGGCTGGCAATTATAGGCTAAAAGGCAAAATATTGGGTTTGTGCACTTGTCTGGTCAGAGAGTTTTATTCTCGAGGGCTAGCTTTGCTGAATTCTAATATCCTCTTATAATAACATATTCTATAATAAATGAATAATAAGTTTAGTAAATTGTGACGAATTGTAACACATAAAAAGCAGGAAAAAACTTAAAATCAAAAGCCACCTCAAATGTTTTCATTTCATTAATTCTTTATACACCAGGACCATACACAGACAGGCTTATAATCTATATTGAAACTTCCTGAAATGATGAAGCAGCATGCCAGCAACAAAATATAATGTTAACAATCCCTATTGCAGCCCATACCTGAAAGCTTGCTGTTCTGCTCAAACTTCCTGTGGAAGTCTTCAGCCTGATGAGGGTGCTGTTCATCATAGTGAGAGTTCAACATCGTCTCCATCTCAAAACAAATCTCAAGTAAAAAATCCCAGACTTCGAGGGCCACTTCTGGACACCTGGGGGAGCAAGCATATCTGGTAAGACACTTCCTAGCCCTGCACTCAGTCCCTGAGATGAGATTTAAGGAGTCTGAGGAGTTCCTCTGTGTTACCTAAAACAACAAAGTGCGACCCATCATCCCAGAAAAATACCAAACCAGTAAATCCACGCTATCTCTAGTAAAAGGGAAGAGGGGGGGAAGGGAAGAAAGACTGCAGCATAAGCTTAGATACAAGCGATTTTCTTTCATCTTCCACGTTTCCTCATTCACATTAAAGCATTGTCTTCTCCCTGATGTTTCCTTTGAAAAGCAAGGAACTGATGCACACAGAAATAGCTGCACTGCACACTGCAACAGCTGTAGAAAAGACAGAAAACCTGAAAGAAAAAATTATCTTCTCAGTACGAGATTTCTTTCCCTCCTAGATAATCTTAACAAAAGGCATAATTACTTGCAGCCCTTCTACCGTAACAAGAAAAAATAGCATATGCTTATTTTGAAATGCTTCTTCCCAAATATTGAGAATACTACATATAACTGTAAATTAGTAAAGTGTGCTAATACTGTACAATCAAAAAACATCTGATAATCGTATTAATTGAGTGAAAGAGTGGCAGGGAGCCCCAGGGCAGAATAACCAGTGATAAGTGAGCCTGGAAGCGCCACCTCAGACAGTTCCCCACACTAGTTCAACTCAAAAGCTTGTTACTTTGCCAAAACTTCAAAGTTCGGGATGAACTTTTCTACACGGGGGAAACATATTCTGGAAAACTTCCACTGAAAGGATTCATCTGTTTCAGCTATGAGCTGGAAATACATTTTGTCCCCAGAGAATTTGAGCTACCTTTAGTCTGTCATCCATGTGCAACAGAACAGGGACAAGAAACAGCCTCAGATTTGACGGAGCTTTGCTGGAGAGTGGGACTTGGAAACTAATGAAATGAGATTAGAGAGGTTTCTAGTCTCTTAGAGACAGACACTCCCTCTGCCAGTGTTGAGCAGGCAGACGAGCCTGTTCCAAACCTGTAACAGCAGGGCCTCACCGCAGCACAAAGAGTGCGAGTTAATATGGACATTAATACAGTAGACCTGTCTGTTTCAAGGCAAGCTACAACCATCCCGTCTCCATCCCTTTAGTTCGCACCGGTGCTGTCACCGCTGCCAGACCGAGGGGAGCACCCGGGGCTCGTCACCGGCTCTGCGGGACAGCCCCTGACGGCGAGGCCGCGGCCCGAGCGCCCGCCCCGAGGTTCGCCGCCGGTCGCGGGACTCACGGGCGGCGGCGGCTGCGGGCAGAACACGGGACGGGCCCTTCAGCTGCCGCAGCGGGGCCGCTGCTCAGCCCCGCAGGGGAAGAACGGCCTCGGCGGGGCCCGCCCGGCAGCGGAGGGGAGGGGGCGCGCGCAGCAGGTCCTCCCGAGGCGAAGGGGCCGCGCCAGAGCGGGTCGTGCCGGGCCCGTCCCCGCGGAGGGGCCACGCCAGCCCCGGGGCCGCCATGGCGGGGGGAGCGGGGGGGTCGCGCGGTCGCGGGCACTCACGCGGACAGGGGCGCGCGCCGCGCCGGTGTTTTGCCGCTGCCGCCCTTTCGCCGCGCGCGCGCTGCCGCCAATCCCGGGCCTCGGCGGAAGCCGCGGCCTCGGCCAATGGCGGCGCCGCGCGGGGAAAGGTGCGCTGCGATTGGCCGAAAGCCGGGGAAGGGCCCGCCCCCAGCGGCGCGGCGGGTTCGGGGCTGGAGGGGGGCACGGCGCGAGCTCCCGCTGCCCGCCCTGTACGGGCCCGGCCCGGCGGGGCGGAGTGTGATGGCCGTGTTTGGGCACCCTGCTACAGCTTCGCCTCATACGTCTTTTTTGCTCGTGGTTATTGCGAAATGGTTAGAGTCCTCAGTAAGATCTTGTCCTCGTTAGTTCCGCTGTGAGCTCGGTCAAACAGCCCAGAGGCCGTAGAGCGGCCTCGCTCACACCGTAACAACGGGGGAACAGCTTGGCTTGCAGCTTTGCCTCAGTACCTGATTACACAACTTGTGTAATCGCACAGAATACAAACTGAATTTGCGTCTTGGCTCTGGTCTGTGCTGTAGCCATTGACCAGCAGTCAGCAGGACTAAGAAATTTAGTGGAATAATGTTTTGCTGATGTTTGAAGTAGTTGATTTTTACCAAAACCAATGCAGTTGCCTGTCTGTAAATGTAAGAATCTAGCACTTTTTGTCTTTTATCCATTTTGGTCAATTTTTAAGGTAAAATAACATTGCTCTTGTTAAAGAGTAGCTTTCCTTCACAGGCTAATGCATAGATCTCTTGTTTATTAGAACATGAACTAAAATGCTCTTGTTTATTGCATACCTTAGGTAGGGATCTGTAACTGCAGCCCTTAGTAAATAACAATCAAACCTGAGGTTGACAAAGTTCCCAAGGCAACATTTGAATACGGCTTTACGTTATAACAAGCTGTGCTTAGGCGAACAAATTGTTAAAAACAGAAACAGGTTCCACCACTTTTGCTAATTTGTGTTTCCTGTTATACAGTCTAAAAGGAGAGTGCAGAAACAAGTTGCTGAGCTGCTTTGGTGGTTTTCAGTGGTTTGGTTTGATGTGTGGGGTTTTCATTCCCAACAGTTGTTCTAATTTAGACTTTCTGTTCAGGGCTCTAATAAGCCAGGGCAGCAGTTTGACATTAAGCAAAGTTAAGTATGCTAGCTCAATAATTTCTGTTAAAGGTGACAGTATTTAAAAGCAGATTTTACTAAACATGAATTAAATGAGGGGTAATGACAAAATAATGTAGACCAAATTCTGTTCTTTCTCTGTTTAAGGCGGAAGTTCAGTCAAATTCACTATGACTCATGTGAATGTGTTCTCAAAAGTTACTTCTTCAATGTCTTTCTTCATATACATCTTCATGGGAGAGTGACAGATGATGTGTAGCATTTCCACTACATTTCCTCAGTACTCGCTTAAATATCTCCAGCTTATTTTTGCTTCATTTTGAATTAATGTAGAATAGGTAAAGACACAGCTTCTGATTTGCTTCTGCACAACTTCTGTGCCTTTCCTATAGCATGAGACACTCTTTCTTTCCTGTTGGCTTGGATTAGCAGAAACTCCTTTACTCTTGGGGTAAAGAAGGCTCTACCTTATCATTCAATACTGAGCGTGCAGTTCTAACAATGCACCATGGTAGGAACTTCTCAGAAGAAAAGACAAGAAATTGCATCAACAAATATGACAAACAAAGCAGCACATCTAATGCTCTGCAAGCCAAACTGCTGCATTGTCTTCTCTAGTGGCTTTATCTCTAGGTTGGATATGAAGGATGAGAAGCCAAATGACAATACAGGCCCATGCAGAACATTCCTTATGGCTGAAAAACCATCACCAAAGCCCACCTCTGGGAGCTTGCCAAGAAAGGATCCAAACACTGCTGTGTGACTGCATCCACTACTGCCAGAATCTGCAGCTGAATCAAACTTTTATCCGCTGACAGGCCTAAAAGAATCTGCGCTGACCCTAGAGCACATCTATTCACCTCTTCCTAGGTCAATTAAACTAGAAGTCTCCATATGTTTGAACTGTCTTCTAGCCTTGAAAAACCAGTAAGCAAGGTCCGGGAAGGTAACTGATGAATGTATCCAGCACAGAGGTAGGAGATCCTTAACATCCCCTTGCTGCCGAGAACATCTGTTCATAAATTAGAAACCAGAAACTACTTAGAAATGAGCAAATAAAAGTATATGTAATGGCAGTATTAAAAAATATATGTACAAATATACATATATACAAAATTCAATTTTAATGACAGTAGAGATTGTTAAGTGTACTATTCAGTTTTCATTAGCCTGAATGTCACATGCTTTCCAACTTTTAATTACTCTTTCTGTTAGCAATATGATTCTATGGCAAAATTTTGCTCTCTTTGGCACCAGGTTGAGACAAATCTCTTCATGCTATTGTGCCCTTTAGGAATACTGTCAAATTCAATCATTCAGGACTCATGAGTCTTGCACTAACATGAAGAGATTGATTTGGAAACCATGGGACTAAGGTCCTTTTCTTTTTTTTTTTCATTTTCCATTTCCATTCCTTAACCAGGAAACCTGAGATTGCCAGCTTTGCTCTCACATGCAAGCGAGCACGGCCCTAGATTAATGCTCTTGGATGTGGCAGTGACTGTGTCTGCCAGCATTTTCTAATCAGTTATATCTGAAATATCAAGAATTATTGTGATGTCAGAAAACATACCACAATATAGCAGTCTCTACAGCCCATTTAAAGGCAGTTAAAAATAGATATAAAAACTACTTCAGGCAAAAATACAGAGGAATTCTTGACCTTTAGTAAATTTGGTCTCATTCAAACAATGTATGTTTTAATAAAATCTATCAATATATACCTAATAAGGAATGTAGGCTCTCCTACACAATGGAAAAGTTTAAAAAGGACAAGCTGAGGAAGCTGATGAGTTTGTTGTAGCAGAAAGGATTTGTGCAAACCTTGACTTGACAGAGCGCAGCTGTAATGGTGACAATTTTTACCTGTATGTGCAAAGTTCTGATGGTGGTTGAGCCAGTTCTGATACTCACATTGCAAGATGGATACTGAAAAAAATGAAGTGAGTGTAGAGAAGAGCTATGGAATGATCTGAAGTCAGAGGAAATGCCATGTAATTGAAGAACTAAAAATCTTAAACTACTCACTGAATCAAAGAGATTGAAAGGTGAATTGATAACAGTGTATACATATATGCACAGGAAAAATATTGAATATAAGGGCCACTTCAACCTACCAGAGTTAAATAGGAAGGAGTGATGTATAGCAGCTGGAATTAAGCAAAATAAAATAGTGTACTGTTCAGTACCTAGTTCAGTACCACTGATAACAAATAATCCTTGGAATAGTCAAGGGCTGCGGTTGATTCCTTGGCTCTCTATCTTCAAGTTTGGACTCAATGCCTCCCTGAAAAATGCAGGCTAGCCAAACACAGGCTATGCTGTGTTGAAATCCAGCAGGCTCAGTTCACGGTTAAATAACAGTTGCCTGTAATTTACAGGAGATAAGACCATATACTCCTATAGTCTCTCTTCTTTAGGCTTTATAAATAAATTTCTATAGTTTATAAACCTTCCAAAACCTCTATAAATAATTCTTTTCCTCCTACCACCTCAAGTTTAGCTTTCCTTTCCATGTATGCCTCATCTGTATTTGGCTATCCTGTCCTACTTGCATAGCACTGCGACTGACTGATTATGAGGAGATGATGGCATACACACTTCTTGTCCCAGCTCCTGAGACTGCACAACATCTCTCAGAGAAGTTTCTTAAGTAGTGATCGTGGCCCTCACCTTTATTTGACCTCTAGGAGAATGCACTTCAAGCTCTCTCCACAGCTGCTCTTTTTCAGCCTTTAGAAGAAAACAGACAAAATCAAAGCTTTCCTCAGAAGCAAAAATCCATTTAGAGTAATTTAAGTGTTCTTATATTTGCTTCAGCTTTAGTGATTACTTACAGCCTAATAGGAATATTGGGCTTGGCCAAACTGGTACCTGCATAACTGGCAAAACTGGCATCTTAAGTGCCTTAGCTGTGTGCTTTTCCTTTCCCGATGTTGTTTATTGTCTCTTTGAATGTAGACCTACAGTTTTCTTCGTTGTTATATTTTACCAACACACAAGGTTTTTCTCATGGTTAAATACGAGATTCTGGTCTCCTAATAGATATGTAGATAACACTGTTCTTTTGCTCCAATAGCTGACATAAGGCTGAATCTGGTAACCTCACTTACTGAAAAATTGTGTTATCATTGGGAATACTCACACATGTAAAATGAGCAGGACTTGGCCCTTTGGTCATATTTTTGTAATAAAAGATAAAATGAGATTTTTAGGAAACTGCAAGTTATGACCATAATATTTATGAGGCTGTCAGGACTGCACTGTAAAAATTCATATTATTTAATTCTTCACTCTGACACTAAAGCATCATTTCATTTATATGCAAATAAGAATATACTCTACTGCTGTTTCTTCACTGAAGAAGCTGTTTGAATTATTCAGATTTTATTAATAAAGCTTCATAAATAAGTATTTTTTCTACTCAATTGGTAGTGGCCATGAGAGAGAATCTGTTTATCAGGCTTTGTTATTATGAGCTTCATAACAAAATATGAAGATTTATGGAGTACATAATTAGATGTTATGTGATTGTAATGGACACACTGGGTTATCCAGATGCAAAACTCTTTATGCATTTCTCCTTGGCAGAGGCATTGCTGGAAAATGGACTAAACCCGTCCCCATCACTAAGTTCCAAGAAGTGCCTATGAAAGGAACAGACCAATTTAAAACCTTTTTTTAATCATACACACTGAAATAATTTTGAATAAAGAAAAGATGCCTAAGAAAGACTACAAGAAATGCCAGGGAGAAGCAGATAAGGAAAATTATGTGCCTTCTCTGGGCAGAGGGGCTGGTCTGCAGACTGAGTGTTAGCTGCAGGTGTGACAGTACAATCTACAGCCTGAAGCTGCCTGGCCTTTAAATCATCATTTAAGTGACCAGCAATTAATATTCCCTTCAGGTACAGATCATAGTCAAAGTAATCCTGTGTGAACTCAGTTCTACCTGTGCTGTGAAAGAAGCTGCCTATGGTGCTGAGCCCCAGCACTGAACCTTGGTTTGGGACAGCCAGGTCTGCAACCTCCTGATGGATTTGGGCAGAACAGGGATGTCCCAATGCTCTGCTTAGACAAGGCAACACCTTCATGTTTGCAGCAGATGGGCTTCAGAGAGCCAGGTGTTTTCTTCAGCAAAATCAGAGCAAGCCATAGAGACTGAAGTGGCTAAAAGAAGTTTATACAAATTGCTTTATCCGAGTTAGGTCCCTGTATTTATGATAAATTAGTCATTTTTTTTTAAAATACTGCCACTGAATTGTCCCCATGGAGTTGAAGTGTGAGACAGTCATTAGATGTCCAGTGCTATTGCACAAGACCATCTGTGTGCCTATCGATAACTTAATGAAAATTTACGGGAAAGAGTCTGGATGTGAAAGACCTACTGAACATTTCATAGCAGCCCACAGGGATTTATTACTGTATGGTGTAATCCAAGCAAAGTTTTAATCTCACACACAGTACCTCTTAAAATCACCACAGCAAAACTATTGTAAATGAAAGGTAGAGGAGTACATCTAGTCTGGGGGCTTGTGCAGAGAGCTGAAGATGTTTTGTGGGAAAAGTTGCTGGCTTGTATTTTGACATTGCTGATTGGGCATGAGCTGAATTTAGTGTCTCTCTGGAAGCAAGATCATGGAGCATGTCTTGTGGAAATCTCTCAGCATCTCAATCAAGACTAAGAAATGAGCCTGTAACTGTATACATGACTGTTCTTGAACCAATTTTTTGAATGTGAAATAAGGGTCTGCAAGCCACTATGTTGGGCTTAATCCAACTAAAGTATCTCTGTAAACTTTAAACACGTGCATAACCTTCTTGAAGGCTCTGAACTGGGTTGTGTGCTGCTCTTAGCAGCATGTGCCAGATAGATGGGGGGGGTGGCTGTGAATGGGCTTGCAGCTACTTGAAGGATCCTGGTTTGGGTGACAGAATCAGGGAGGCAAAGGATGTTCCAAAAATTCTCAAATTGTCTTAGTCACTATGGACTTAATGATGGTCAGAGCAAAATTTAATCATGTTATACATGATTGGGTGTTTTGAATTACAAAAATCCTACAAAAGACACCCACTTTTCATGCTATATCACACATTTTATTTTCATTAATTGTTATAACATTAAGAAAGACCTGCAAGCATTATGCCTAAAGTATTCATTGCATTAATTTTTGAAGCTGAATCAATACTGTAGCACTGTAACTTTCCTTTCTGGAGTTTAATTTAGAAAAAAAAAGCTGATACATTAAACTTCTTTTCTGGAGACTCTTTTATATTCTGCACGTTGAATACAAGCTAAAACTTGCAGACAACAGCAGAATGCTTTTATGCCTCTAACAGTATGCATATGCTGTCTATTACAATATTATTCACAATAAGCGCAGTCAAAACAGAAAGTAAAACAAGTATAAATATCTGTTTTGCTGGGATATCTGTGACAGCACTGTAGCCAAGAATAACAAATTTTTAAGCCTACAGACATTTGATATGCAAAAAAAAATCTCTTTGAAAACAGATTTAAACTATGACCCTTAGGACATTTTATGAAGCTTTATTTATCAAAAAAAATAATCTAAGAAGGAGCAGAAAAAAATTCATGAAATACACAGTAATTTTGGTATGTTTGAACTCTCAGCTGAAAACTGAAAAAAAAAAAAAACACCAAACAAACCAGCTGTATATCATCTAGGAAGTAAAGTTGTAGGTTGTTTTCAATATACTAGTAAGGCTAGAATTAACAGTACAGATGAGTTCAGAAAATGTGCATATAGTATTCTTCAATTACATAGTTTCGCCTATGGAATTCAGTAAATGCTGAATCTGGAGGCTTGAGTTGTCTCCTGCACACTACATGGTGGGCACAAGTGGAAGGGATAAGTTA